GGCGACGGCAACGGCTGTCCTAACCTTCTATTCTATACAACTTGGGGTTCTAGTATGAAAATAAACTCAATTGAATATTCATTAGTTAATATTCTGCTTTGATATTTTCATTTCAATTTCTTTTGTTAATAAAACACTCTTCAAAGCATTCTTATCTCTATTAAGTCTCTCTTTGAGAAATTCATGTAGCTCTCATTATAATTTTAGGGCAATAAAATACGCTATCAGCAGGTATTCCCCAATTTCACAACAAGACTTGAGTGGTTTTTTTTTCTAAAACGCTGATAGTGAAAAAAAAAATTGAGTGGAGAAAGCAGTTCTTAGCCAACCATCACGAGATACAACTGGTATGAACTCTTCTAAAGAGTTGTTTTTGTTTTTAAAATTTTTTTTTATTTTTTTTAAATTGATAAGCTTGAGACTGGATTAGTAGCGATTAAACTCTCATAGTGTTGTTGTCTAATTAACCGAAAAAATCTATCAAAAACCGATTTATATCGGAAGAACTAGTTAGCAAAAAAAAAAAACAACAATTCAGTTTACGTGCAAAAACATATATAAATTTGTATATATGTAAGCATATATATAAGTACGTGATATATATGAATCTACTTCTAGTCGGATTCAGTTCCATAGAGATTGCAAATAATATTTATTTTTTCTTATTGTTTTAGATGTTTAAATAAACAATAACAACAACTAACAAACTTCTATGCCATATCAGCAGATCATTATTGCTATGTGTGACTGCAGTTGTTGCTCTACAAGCATACATACGTACAAGCCTATGGAATCAATGGATTTCTGATTATTATTATATTTTCAACGGCAACAATATTTTAGAAGAAAAGTAAAAAAAAAATCAATGCAAAACGGAAATAAAACCCTGTGCTGCATTGTCAGAGTAGTAGTACATATGCACATATTCACATACATACATATAAAAATTAGTATAATCCTGTTTTAGTGGGTTTTAGGCGCCTTTAGTATTATGAATTTAATATTTCGTAACATCTTGTATATATTTTAAACGGAAAATATTCACATGATTAAAATCGGGAAGGTAACAATTTATATATATTTTTCTTTTATGCATAATAAAATTTATGTTTAGTAAGATTTGAAACTCGTAGTCTAGAAATTTTTAGTTTTTTTGCTTGAGCGATCACGAGGGATCGATTTTTTTTTCTAAAATTTTTCAAGGCACTTCAAAGTCAAAACTATTTTATGACACTGAAGAAATCCCTAATACACCTACGTTCTCATTAAATTGATTTTTTAGTGATGTTTTCATGATAGAAAAAGTGCTTGAGCTTAAGACATCTTATTCTCGGTAATGAAACGAGCTGTTTCGTTTCTTCTCACTGAGAAAGTGGTTTTGAATATAGTGTATTGAACCTTTTCCTTTAAGGACTCAAATTCATCTTTAAAAGACACGAGCAAACTGAAGTTATCTTCCAGAGTGTATCCAACCGTAAAATGATGGCAGTTCAAAAATTTTAATGAATGCATTTGTCCTTTGAAAATATTCGTCATCTGACTTTGTATTTGAGAGTGGATTTATCAGAAAAAAACTGAAAGAAACTGAAAGTTATCGAACCCCTTAACCATTTTTTGTTGTATGAAAGCCAAATGGTCCTTGCTTGGTTGGATGAAAGAGGAGGTTGGAGTTCTGACCGCCCCAACTATGTATTTGCACACGCACTTCGCTCGTTTTTATGGTGGAAAGATTGAAGCTGAAAAAATCTTCGAAGATATGATTACCAATAAGATACTTGCAAAGATTGTGTTCGACGTTTCGTCATCTACTGTACTTCCTCTGTTTTTAACCAATTTCTCCTTACCTTAGCTGGTAGATATAATATCTTAAGGTTAGATTATTTGTCATTAAATCCAACAGAATATTAAGTTTTCTTTTTTTAATGCAAATAACAGTTAAGTCAATCCACTGCTGTAGACAATAATCGAAGTCCTCAAAGGCTGTAAGGCAGTCAATGGTGACAGACTTGACTTTTCTGCCTTTTCTTTGCCTCCTGCATCTGTGTGACCTTGAACCCAAGTGTGATTTCTGTTGACGAGCTTAATTGCTTTAAATGCTGCGAGGCTTTGTACCAGAAACCTAATGGATTCTTCTATTAAAGCGAAACCTTCAGTAATTCGCACTTGGAGGACAGCGATTGGCATGAAGTTTGAAGCTATGTAGGTTATAGGTGAGGTCACAGACAAATTTCGCTCCTGTGCTTGATCTGGCTTTCTACCCATTCCTTCCTACTGGGGTAGGAGAAAGACTCCCAGTAAGAGATTATCCTTTATCGATTCCATTTTTCTGTAAGATGCCTACTCGAGCTTTTCAATGCCACCTTTGTAAGTATTCCAAATTCGGAAGACTTTACTGGCTCTATTTCCGGCATGTTCGCTTCAGCTAAGTCTTTTATCTAGGGTTACATCGAGGTATCCTTAAATTTGTGAAAGCCCTTAGCACTTAAGACATGTAGTCTTATGCAAAAATTTTTTTTGGGTGATACCTAGGAGGAGATGGTGGGAAAGAACAGATTATCTCATTTGCGTTCTTGATCCCAGTGTCATAGAGGGAAATTCTAAGGCAGAGGAGCCTGCCAGCCTAGCCAGAACCAAACGGATTCTTCTCCACAAAGAACGCACTGGCATGCCTTTTGCTACCTGCAAACTGTAGCTCATAGATTAAGATGAAACCACACAGCTGCCTACAGAATTTCCAGGCAAACTTAACTAAAATGCAACCCCAAAGGCCCAAAGGGCCATGCGAAATTGCACTCACAAACAAGGGAACATCTTTAAGAAAGGAAAAACAGTCTCTCATCACCTGTGAGACTACCACGCCTTAGGCATAGCTAGGTTTCAATATCTAGGAGCTGCTTTCATCTATAATTTGTGTAGCAAGATAAATTACCTAATGAAATTTATAATGCAATCGAAGAGGATGAATAGTGAAGCTTAGTGATTGGGTAAACACCGTGGTATCACCTAACCTATAGGTATATAAGTATGTATGTATAACTCTCTCATTTTTAAGCGTTCAACTAGTCAAAGTAGACTAGTATAAATCTAAAAAACATACAAACACATACAAACAAGTCAGACCACATTTAGGAAGTTTCTATTGCTGCATAATTAAAATTAGCAGTCCCTTTCTAGCTTGTTTACATTTGAAACCTGTTTAAGCGGTTCTACTGCTCGTCATCACCGATTGTTTACATGCAATGAATATTCAATGGCACGCTATTGCCTTGCAGGTTGCTGGCTGTCGTCGGTCGTAAGAGAGAAGAGACGAAATGCAGTTAAGCACTAAATAAATATCACACATACATGCAACTGCACATATGGCAAGCACAAATGAGTACGACAAACATTTCTCTGTCGAATTGTTCATTGACCATTTTCATCAAAGTGGTTTTTTTGTGATATTATTTAAATGTTTTTGTTTTTTTTTGTTGTTATCGGCTGTAAATCAGTAGTTTTGTATACTTTTTTTTACATACCTCTCTATGTGCTTGGCCTGTTGTGTGAATTACCCTGCAGGAAATACAAGACTCAGGTGACAGAAAACTGACGTATATTTTGATGTCGATTTCTGCTCTCATAGTCTTCTTTGTTATTTTTTCTTTGTGTGTAGGCTTCATTAGAGAGATAATTAGATTACTATGCGAACGGCTACGTATTTCTTTTTCTTAGATTACTTTATCTCAGGAGCAGTGGAAGAAGACGAGGATGAACCCAGTGTCAAGCTCTCAACCTGAACCTTCCTGCGGTTGGCTGGCCTTCTTTTTCCTCTGCTTCCTGCGGCGGATACTGGAGTGAATACTTTCAAAGCTGAAGTGATTTCATACATTCAGACCACCTGACCTAGCCAGCAAAGCTGCAGTCTCTTCATTCGCTGAACAATGTATAGCTTGTACAGCTCATCGTTCCATCTTATACGATATTCGCCGTCACTAATGCGGAAAGCACCAAACATGGTTCGCAAAACTTTTCTCTCGAAGACTTCCAGATCCGAATCATTAGATGTTGACATCGTCCACACTTCTGCGGCATAAAGTAAGACGGGTATGATAAGGGACTTGTAGAATTTAGTATTTATTCGTCAAAAGAGGACATTACTTTTCAAATGCCTACTCAGTCCGAAATAGCACCTGTCTGCAAGAGTGATTCTGCGTTGGATTTTAAGGCTGGTATTATTTGTGTTAATGTTAGATAGACTAAATTATCTACGACCTGCCCTGCATTGTCTGAAACTTCGTTTGGTACCAAATGGCGCAGAGAGGTCCTTCCCAAAGTGCGCTACTGGTGTTGTCCAGCATCGACTTACACAGCCGATAAGTTTTGCATGAATACCATATTCAGATATAGCGGCATCGAATATCAAATTTCTTTTGATTTTCGGTTAAGCATCTTCTATCAGACATGTTTATTTACAAACTTTTCACGTTTTTTTCTACAAAGGGGTGTGGGGCCATAAAATATTTAGATATTTTTTTTTATCGACTTTCAGCGCACATTGTTATCACCGAATGCGGCGAGCTCTTGCTCATCTCGTCACAGCCACTTGTTGTTACCGCAAAATTCGTACGATCGTGTTGTGGTAAAAATGTTTGCTTCCGTTCGCTCTGACTCTGAATTTCAAGTCTCTCTGGGTGAGTCAATCCATATAAACTATTTCAGCTGACATGCCCTTTAGAATTCTCCAACAATTGTACGCATTTCACTGGTTTGTCGGTTTCCCTCTGTCAGCGATTGGATACTTATTTGCATAATGATCGTTCGCTTGTCTCCCAAGTGCGATTACAATACGAATACTCAGCGTCGGATCGCTAGTTTTAAATGAGTTTTCTGTGAGTTGATTGCGCACAAATAAGTATCGTCGCTTTTTGTTTACATATATATATATGTATATATAAGTACATATGTATTTGTGCTTAAGAGAATACAAAATAAAAAGGAAAACATTTTAATTTTTATATTTAATTTTTAAAAACATTTACAAGTTCAGACTCGTTTGAGACGTGCGCGTGTACGGACGTTGTAATTTGTGTATTCGAGAACAAGTTTACATAGAGAAACTAATAAATTCAATAAATGAAGAAAGTATTAAAAATGAGGAAAAATTAAGTCGTTGTAAGAAAAATAAGTAAATATTAGAGTGCAACAGGTTGGTGAGAAGGATTTCAGTAAAAAAATATGTAACATTTATCGGGATTTCAATAATTTTAAGATTGAATATTTACAAAAAAGGTAGAAAATAAATTGAAATAAAATATAAAAAAATTTAATTAAATAAAAATGAAACAAGGAGACAGCATGAAAAACAGAAAAATTAAATGAAATAAAATAATTTAAAAAATAGGAAGATATAATAAAACAAGAAAGGAAAAATAAATTATAAAAATTAAAAAAAAATTAAAAATATAAAAAACTATCAAAAAAAGTAGAGCAAAAAAAAACTAAAATTTAATAAATAAAAAAAAATATAATGAAAAAAGTAAAAGAGTAATGAAATTTAAAAAAAAAAGATTAAAGTAAATAAAAAAAATTAAATGAAGTGAAATTATAAAGTGTAACAAAAAAATGTTAAAAATAATATTATATTCTTTCATAGTGTGCGAATTAAATCAAATTTATTGTTAATATTAATAATACAACCCGAAATTAAATGAAATAAAAAAAAATAAAATACAATTGTTGTTTGGCTGCTTGGTTCAAAGGGAAGGTTAAGGATTTCACCCCGAGCGGCTGCATTTACGAGTGTATTAGGCTTATTGTGCTCTCCTGCCTATCCCAATTGTCATTTTGTGATCATTTCGTCCGATTTAATAATATGTTTCAGTTTTTCCCATCCAAGCGCACTCATCGCCAAAAGACCGGAGCTCCGCTCGCGTCTCCATCGGGTGAACGTCGGACACTATTAAATGCTATGATCCAGCGTTTGATCCTCCTCTCTGCAGGCCCTACATTTCACCGTTTCTATCTTAGCTAGCTTTTGGAAATCATATTCTAGGGTTAGAGATGATGCCCAGTCAGTACACCTACAATAATGCTAAGTATTCTTTTTATTGATGATAGCATGAATTTGGCCTGCTGCAATCCACACTGCCCCACTGTTGTTCAGTGGTACGCTCTACTATGGAACTGCTCCAGGATCTCAAATTTTCCTCTAGATTTTATGGTTAAAAGAAGAAAGAAGGCGCTGAAACGCCGATGTTGACAGAAGCGGTGCCAGTGCGAGCGATATCATTCGACTTTTGCTTACCTTCTACATTCGGGCCTGGTACCCTAGCGTTATTCATTGTCTTAACCTATTGTACTCTCTTTATTACATCTCTGCATGGTCTTATAAACTTAAGCCTTCTGTTGACACATTTAATTGCCCTCATTGCTGCTTGGATGTATACAAGAAATCTGTAAGATTACCCTGTTAAAGCGTTTGCCCATTAGGTGCCTTCACTAACACCCACAATCTCTGCTTTTAACACAGATTTGTAGCATATTTGTAGTAAGAAGCTATCTGGGTTATTGGAGTGGTCACAGAAGAACCCTACTCCAGTGCTTGCCTCGCATTTCGACCCATCACTATAGATAAAGATAATATCTTCATTATTACCTATGACATTGCCTTCTGCCACTTCTTGCTAGTGAATTGGTGTCCTTCACATTCAGTTGCCGGGATCGAGCTATCTAGGATATTGTTAAGCATTTAGCTGTTAGTGCTGCTTCATAAGTGACTTGTGTGTTAATTGGCCTGATGTCAGGAATCACTTACAGTACCATTGTTGAGATAGTTCTCATCGCGTTGCAACCGTTCTAGATGCTAATTGCAGGGTTATTTCTTTAGTGTTGGCGATCCATACGTTAATATGGGTTTTATAACAAGTATTGACAAGAATTACACCGAGGTACTTGACCGATATTACCCCTTGATGATAGAATAGGCAGACTTGCGATTTTACCGTGTTTACAATAAGAAGGGGGCTTAGAATTCTCAACCCTTTGGTAGAGGAAATGTGCATTCAATAAAATCTGATTTATAAAACTCACGAGTCACAGTGCTGCCGTAACTTAACTCCTTCGAAATGGCTGGATTGATTTTTATAAAATCTTGTGTGCATGTCGTGTAGGCCAAACGACCCACAGGGATGTGAATCAAAAAATTCGTATTAACATTTGCTTATATCAGCAGAAGTTTATATTAATTTTTAGTAAGGGTTGTTTACTTGACAAAGCGAGCATGGTCAGTTTACGTTGTCGTGGCAAAATGTTTGTTTGTTTGTTTTTGCGCCCTAAAACCGGTCGCATAGTACTATATCGTTATCTACTATTCGAGCCCATTCAAGCAATTCAAATCAAGATCTGAGCTATATACTTTTTATTATCATTCTGTAGTTAATCCAAAGGCGGGAAGAAGTTCGCCGGGTCTGTTAGCATATATGTAAATTCATATTATATACATATGTATATATGTACATAATAAATTGATTAGCCTTTCCTGTTCAACCTTGAGGCGTTAACGCTTTTCTTCGGTAATATACTGCTCAATACTAGTTAAGGTTGTAAAATAAAAAGTACAATCAATAATTTTTAATATACTTTTATATATTTATATGTGTATTAATAAAATTATGTACAATCTTGGCTATGTATTCATATCACTACATATATACATAAGTATGTGTGTCACATGCACCAAAAATATGAGATACTTATTTCTTCTGCTGCTTGTCTGGATGCTTTGATCCATGGCGAGGTTATCTTTGTAGAGAGTTTCTGAGCGGCAGTTTCTACTCGCATTTGCTATTTTTAGTTATCAAAATACTGTAAAGTGAAACACAAAGTTATTTTCCGCTGCTAAATGAAACGATAGTTAGCGCATCGATATATATTTATATGTACATTATTATTGTATTTACATATCTATACATACATAAAGAAATATCTGTTAAGTACTTATCGTAAATATTTTCATGTTTTTAATTGCAGTTTTTCCTTTCTCACTCTATTATTTTGCTCATTTTCTTTCGTTTGAGTTTGTCCCCTCTTTTGCTTTCTTTTTAATTAACGCTAAGCAATTCTATTAAACAAACACATTTACAAAATCAAACAAAACAAAAACACAAACTAGAAAAGGGCATAGAAAATATAAATAAAGACATTTGTCACATCTCATTAGCTATGTAAAGTACAGAACAAGTAGATACATATATAATAAAATATAAGACATATGTTTTTTTTTATATATTTTTCGAAAACCGGTTCGACAAGTTATTAAAGATACAATTGTAAGTTTATACAATTGTTTAATTATTGTATTTGCTTTTATTGGAATAGAAGCAAAATTTAATAGTACAAGATTTGATAGGTAAGTCAAAAATTAAAAAAAAAATTAAGGTATAAAAAAAAGAAAATAAAATAAAATAAAATAAAATAAAATAAAATAAAATAAAATAAAATAAAATAAAATAAAATAAAATAAAATAAAATAAAATAAAATAAAATAAAATAAAATAAAATAAAATAAAATAAAATAAAATAAAATAAAATAAAATAAAATAAAATAAAATAAAATAAAATAAAATAAAATAAAATAAAATAAAATAAAATAAAATAAAATAAAATAAAATAAAATAAAATAAAATAAAATAAAATAAAATAAAATAAAATAAAATAAAATAAAATAAAATAAAATAAAATAAAATAAAATAAAATAAAATAAAATAAAATAAAATAAAATAAAATAAAATAAAATAAAATAAAATAAAATAAAATAAAATAAAATAAAATAAAATAAAATAAAATAAAATAAAATAAAATAAAATAAAATAAAATAAAATAAAATAAAATAAAATAAAATAAAATAAAATAAAATAAAATAAAATAAAATAAAATAAAATAAAATAAAATAAAATAAAATAAAATAAAATAAAATAAAATAAAATAAAATAAAATAAAATAAAATAAAATAAAATAAAATAAAATAAAATAAAATAAAATAAAATAAAATAAAATAAAATAAAATAAAATAAAATAAAATAAAATAAAATAAAATAAAATAAAATAAAATAAAATAAAATAAAATAAAATAAAATAAAATAAAATAAAATAAAATAAAATAAAATAAAATAAAATAAAATAAAATAAAATAAAATAAAATAAAATAAAATAAAATAAAATAAAATAAAATAAAATAAAATAAAATAAAATAAAATAAAATAAAATAAAATAAAATAAAATAAAATAAAATAAAATAAAATAAAATAAAATAAAATAAAATAAAATAAAATAAAATAAATTAAAATAAAATTAAATAAAATTAAATAAAATAAAATAAAATATAAATAAAATAAATTAAAATAAAATAAACTAAGACAAATAAAATGATATTTAAAAAATAGAATTAAATGAAATAAAGTAAAATAAAATAAAAAAATATGAAAATTAAAAACCAGCGGCGTTAGCCGAGTGATTAGCATTGCGTACCATGCCATTCGGAAGGTTCGGTTTCAAATCCCCGTGCGATCAACATCCAAAAGTTGTAGAAAATTAATTTATTTAAAAATTTAAGTTAAAATTTCTTATTGTGGTCGCCCTTCGGCAGGGAGTGTCAACCCTTCCAAGTGCATTTCTAATATGAAATAAAGCTCCCCATTAAAAAAAAACCATCAGCCGTTCGGAGGCTGCTTAGTATAAACTATAGGTCCCTCCATTTTTTGGGAAAACATCAAGATGCATAAATCACAAATTGGAGGAGGAGCTCGGCCGAAAATCGCTCCAGCGTTTACAAAGCGCCAAATATATATATAGAAAGGAAAGAATAAAATAAACAAAAGTAAAAAAAAAATTTGAAAAATTAAAAAAAATTGAATTAAAAAGAAATAAAAAAATTAAATGAAATGTAAAGTAAAAATAAACAAAATTTTTAAATATAGCTCATAAAGTTAATCCAATTAAAATATTTCATTTTAGGTATGCTCTTAATGAATTATATATCATATATCATTTTTTGTGTATTCAATCACTTTTTTAATACTTTTTTGTTTATTTTCTTTACAGAGTTCATAAATATTTAAAGTTGGAAAAACACCAACGTTGTTAAATAGAAGAACATTTCTCAAATACAAGAACATTTATAAAAAGTATTATAACTTTAATTAAAAAAGTTAAGCCAAAAACCAAATACATTAAAAATGGCATACACAAAAGCAAGCACATCACTTCTCATTTCCATTGCTGTGATAATAACTATATTTTCCACTTCTATACCTGCAGGTAAGTCAAGCTAAGATTACACGCAAACACACAACAAAGATATGGAAATATACTTATGAAAATCTTTTTTATGGCATTACTACATATAAGATTTCTTATCACTTAGTTAGTGAGCAGTCACTATAGTGTAAGTTGCAACCCTTGCACAGAAATTCTATCTAAAGAATGACGCAAAACCATTTTTACGGTATTTATTTATTATAGCTTATAAAAAATTTAATTTATATACTGAAATAATGATAAATGCGATTATAAATGTACTAAAAATAGTGGCTCAATTTGTTTTAAAATTTTGTAGTTACAACTATTTGATATAAATCTTATTTAACTTAGATTTAAGTACATAGTATATTTGAACTTGTTATTATGCACCTTAATTATAGCTAACCGCATTCGTTTTATGACTCCATAAACATTTTAACTGTAGTGTAAAAATAAAAAAAATACCTTGAGATGGAAGGGATATTCACAAAATGGCGAAATTGTTGTTTGTTGCAACATTTTTTTTTTTTTTTGTAAAATGTATAAACTATCCAATGAAGCTAATTAAAATTTCGAAAAAATATATTTCTGGGCACTGATTAGTAAGGTGCGAAACTATGTAATTAAATTTAATTTATATAATGACGTATGGAAATACGCCTGACATCTGTAAGTCATACTCTGTGCGTCATTAAAGAAATTCAACTGCCTTAAACAAATTACTATTTAACATCAGAGCTGAAATTTTGTTTGTGGCATATTAATCTAATTTTTTACTGTTATTATTAATAACAATTTTCTTCGCACCCAGTGAATTCCCCTTATTTTAATATTGTATATACAACACAATATTTACAATGGCGCCTGCGGTTGGGTTGTTAAACTTGAGACATCTATTCGTCAATCAAATTACCGTAATTACGACTTGACTTAAGCATACACTTATCTGGGTACATACTGATTGAGTTATTGCTTTTTAACTGGTTTCCGTTAGGTTTATATGAGTTAACTGCACTTTATGGGACTTAGTAGTATAATAAACCCATAAGGAATATGTAAATATTTTCGCTAAAACTGGACTGGGTTGGTTATTTTGGGCTGCAATTAAAAGAAAAATAAATATGCAGAATAATTAGATAAAAAATAATTGTTTTTTTCGAAAAATGAAATGAAGAGGGCGAACAAGTAGGAATTAAGAATAAAGGGAGTAGTTCTTCAAAATTTTTAAATGTAAGACATAACATCGGAAGATAGCTAGAAACTTTCTGAAACAAAAAATTAAAAAAATAAAAATTTGAACTCTAAGTAATAATGGTTCTGTTTGTTACTCGCAGTTACACGGAGGTGATTATCAATTCAAGACTCATTGTTTTTTGTCTCTGCATATTTTCTGTTTTATTTCCATTATTCTTCTTTACCTGCGTAGGCACCTCTGCCAAGTTCAGCCGTGTTCTTTTCCAACTGGTCTTCCTCTTCCTTTGCTTCCACCGGCGTATACTGTATCGAAGACTTTCACAGCCGGAGTATTCTTATCCATCTGCACCATATGATCTTGCAAGCGTAGCTGCTGTCCCTTGATACGTTGAGCTTTTTCGCCGTTCAATCGCCTGCGGTATTCGCCGTTTTCAACGCGCAGAGGCGGAGCGTTTATCTACTGGGGTGAATGCCAGAACTCGGCACCGAAGTTCCACCACCAAACATACCCCGAAATGAACGCCCCTTTATATAATATAACTGCTGTAGTAAATGTCACAACGAATAATCTTATTACGTCCATCGCCCTTTCAGAACGGCGTTGATATTAGCCTTTAGTCTTATAAGGACATCAACCAGCTGGACAGCTACCTCTTTCCGATTACTGGATTGGACATTTCAAGGGCATCACCATCACTATCAAAAGCGAGGTATCTTGTTCGAGGAGTAAATAAGCATTTCATTGGAGTTAGTTTCTATGTGGCGGGTTCCTAGCCCAGCACTTAACCTCGCTAGGCGAGTGTGTTTAAACTTTTCACATATTTATATAGAGAGCTGCTTGCTTCAAGACCGCAACTCTCGTGAACTGACGCTTCAAATGGACTTCAGCAAACACTTAAATGGAACATAACGAGGTGGCTTCACCGAAACCTCCTTTCTTTTAGTTATGACTTAAGGCCACACACGGGTTGGTTACCGAATGTTCAGTAAATGTATTTTAATGGAACGGCACTAGGAGTTTTCGAGAGAAAGGTTTCGCGTATGATTCATGGTCCTCTGCGCATTTGCAATGGTTAGCCCCACGCTCGTTGGAAAGATGAGCTGTACGTGATATGCGTCGACATGAAAAGAAGAGAAAGCCCCAGCTTTCTTAGATGGGCTTGATCGAAACCTTGAAGGCAGCGAATATTCAGTTAAAATTAAAAACAATTTCGATTCTTTTTTCTGCTGTAGATCTGGGAAAAATTAGATTTCAGCAATTCTAAGAAAATTGAAAATTTTTCGTGTTTATTTCTCGTTCCACGAGCTGTGCAAATTTTTCTACAATCTGACTATGGTTTGGGCTTGATAGCTTGCTTATTCGACATTTAATTATTGTATTGTTTTTCTTCTTCTTCCTTATTCAGTGGTTGTGCGTAGGGTTTGGAATGCACCACATGAAAAACGAAAAATCCAATGAAAAATCATAATTTTTCTCTACGATGGTTTTATTCCCAGAATATACCTTTTGGAATGCTAAACGATACTTTTGACTTTAATAATCAATGTCACAGCTGCCAGCTACCGGAAACTGGAATATTTCTCGTACTTTGCAGAAAATTATTTTTTTCTACTTTAGTTTCAACCTGGAAAAAGAAGAAAAAGCCACCATTTTCCTCGTTGGAAAAAACCAGCCACATGTTTGCCAATATTTTTGGGGTCTCGAATGTCCATACGAATTTTTGTGCTCTAATGTACCTTCAAAAACCATGTAAAACGATAGAATGATCGATTGAAACCTACGTTTCGTCGTGGCTCAAGTTGTTGTTGTGTTGTAGTTATTCCATGCTATTCGAAATAAAAGGGTTATTTCAATATTAAAAATGAAGCTTAAAAACATTTTATTGTTTCTCGTATATACACATTGGTATGCATGTATGTACGTATGCAGCTACAACTCTTTAATTTGTTTACCACATGCAGCGCTACACGTGCCAGCTTACAAATGTCTATAACCAAATACATGTGTACATCATAAATGTACGTTTAAATGCTTATCTATAAATTTACATTTTTTTTGTAATCTAAATTTATATATGTGCATGCTCGTATTTACATATATAAGTACATATGTATAAATAAATTTATATATGTATGCATGTACATACTCGCATTTGTTCTATTGTCAAATTGTTTATTTATTTAAAACAAATGAATTTAATTTTATTTAAAAAGAGAGTGTGCCAATGAACAAAAGCAACACTAAAAGTACGAGCACCTAGGAAGAATAATAAGGCGCCGATGTGGAACGATACATTGACACTAAGACCTTTTGTGGATGATTGAGTCTATTCAAAATTGCTAAAAAAAAAATTCATATATGTATGAATAGGATATGGTAGTTGAATAGATAAAAATTGAAACGACTGCTCTTTCCATTAAAATCGTTAAATGCTTTCTCAAATACTGTTAAATACGCGATTGAATGCGCATTATCTTAAAGCCTTTTAAGTAAATAATTGCATAGTTTATTAACTTTACTATTCGATTTTCATTTGTATGTTAATTAATTACAGCAAAAATAAATATAATAGCTTGTTTTTACTGTAAAAATGTTATTATTATAATAACTAAAAACGCAAAATAGTGTTGGATGTTAAATAAGTATAATTTTAGACATTCTAACATTTAAAATAAATTCTAATAGACAAACTTGCTTATACACATGAACATGTGTATTTACATAAATACACATATTACATATTTTTTTTCGTTAGTAAAATTTCTGAGAATTCTTCTGAATAACTTTTCAAAGTTTTTTTTTCTTAAACATTTTTGAGAACCTTTAAACAATTATTTTTCATAGCTACATTCCAAGCACATTTTAAATGAAAGTACTTTTATAACTTTTATTTTCATCAAATTTTTCGAAATACACCTTAAGCTACCCTTTAAAGCTCACTTAATTAGCATCTGCCTAACTACTTACTAATAGCCGTTAATTTCCAACTTGTTTAGCAATTAAATTTGCTTATGTTTATGGGAAAATTTCTGAAATACACTAAAAATTCCTCAGCCATAAAATTTTCTGTTAATTTAATTATAGCATAGTTGTGAAATTAATAGCAAGTTCTATCAAAAACGTGTTTGTCTACCTCTTAAGAGTGTTCTAGAAATTTCAAAAAAAAATTTAAAAATTAAAAACAAAAAATTTGGAACTAAATCAAAAGAAAAAAAATGAGTTTACTTCATAAAAAAAATAAAATAAAAAAATATAAAACGAAAGTTAATTAAATTGAAATAAAATAAATTAATATAAAGTAATATTTATTATATTAAATTAATAATAAATTACTTAAAAATGAAATGGAAATAAATAAATTTAAAAAACATAAAAACCTGAATAAGAAATACAAATAAAATATAATAATTGTAAATAAATAACATAAAATAAAGTAAATAAATTTGAATTAAAAATGAATTTAATTAATGAAAATAAAATAAAATAAAATAAAATAAAATAAAATAAAACATAATAACAAAAAATAAAATTAATTAAATTATATATATACAAAAATGAAAAAAATGAAAATACAAAAAAAAATTAAAAATTAAAAAGTATAAAAATAAAATGAAATGAACGAAGCCAAAATAAAAGTAATAATAATAAAATAAATCAAATGAAATGAAGTAAAACATAATAAAAATAAGATAAGTGATATAAAATAAAATAAAATAAAATAATATTGAAATTAATGTAAAGTAAGATGGATTAAAAATAAAAAAAATGGTTTGAAATAAAGTCAAATTGAATAAATTTAATAATTTAAGCGAGGTGAAATATT